TAAAGATAAGGAGAGGGTTTCAATCGACTAAAAGGGATAGATGCTTGAGTAGGATAGACAACAATTACAGTTTACGCTGAGGGGTATTGCCAGAACAATAGTTTGATAAACCAAGGGTTGTAGTTAATAATGAGTAGTATTGTCATAACAACCGTTTAAGAATACTTAGTAATCCTGTCGGGCAGCCTAAGCATGTCATAACAAATCCTTATAGACATAGAATAATTTCTTGTCATAGAAAAAGACTAACCTAAGTGCTCTGTGAAAAGTCTGAATATGTGAGGTTATTTTGAATATATTTGAATCAACGTTTTTTATTTTGCTTATCTATTTTAAGTTGTTAATTTTCCATATACTTTGCTTCGACCAAACTTTTCTACAACCATACTTTATAATATTTTCTTGCTTTGACATTTGCATAATTTATTGCTAACTATTTTTCTACTTTGATAAGAATTCAGGAACTAGCTCGTGAAACCTAGTTCTAGTTTTGGTGAAACTTCAAAATTCCTACCAATCCCTGAGGATACGATAACTCACTTACCCTTTATTATTTGATTCGACTGTGTATACTTGTACAGATTTGCTTGCCTTAGCATATACATTTACAAGCGATCAAATATCAATATATTCCTCTTAGTATCGATACCCTTAGCAATATCGATATTACTTGCATCAGTATCGATATTATTCATCATATTTACCCAAATTTAAACCTATAGTATCGGTATTGTTCTTCCAGTACCAATACCCTTACCAAGATTTTCCATTTTTTAGCTCGATTTTTACCCAAATTTCATTAAATTCTCTTACTTTTACCTCAAACAATACTATTAAACTCATCACTACTTAACCCAACTAACTTTCCTTCATTAGTCTTCCTAAAACATCTAAATTCTCTAAAGAACAGTCTAACCCAAGAATCACGCTACTTTTTCCAACATGTTTTTAACCACATCCAAATCTTATAATCTTTTATTTACTTCTTTGACAAGTCAAATATACTTGTAAACCTCAATAAAAACTCATATTTCATTATATCATTCAAAAACCTATTTTCTTTAATCTCAAATAATTCACTAATTACTTTGTTTTAATCATCCTTGAACTCTCCTTAAACCTCTATATCACTTAAGGTTTCAAAGCCAGTCCATAAACTAAAAGAAAATCCAACTTGAAGAAAATATACCTTTAGTTGTGGAGAGAGCACGAGCAACAGGGAAGAAGAATGAGAAGAAGGAGAAGAAGAAAAGTAACTTAGCTTTTAACTTTTGCCCTTTTCTCTCTTAAATACCCCTAAGAAAATGAATTTTAAATCCATTTCCCTCTAAATGACCAAAATACCCTTTCATTCTTCCATTCTTACTGATTAGTCTTAATTAAATCATTTCTTATACTTTACCATTTATTCAATTTAATCCCCAAAATTTTAAATCCTTTCAATATAGTCACTGACCCGATGTTTGAGATATTATAATTCTACCTCTTAAGAAAATTCATCCTCGAATTTTAAGACTATGATTTTACCAAAGCACTTTAACTAGAGGAATCATCTTGATGTTTAATTGATAACTGTTGTTGTAGACAATTTTTTCTAAAGGAAAATATTTTCCCATGATCATTGGAAATCAATCACACATGCCATTATCATATTTTCCAATATATGTATAGTACACTCTGACTAAACATATGTCTACGGATGAAAGACTATACTAAAATTCAATCGAGTACCCAAAGCTTTATGCTAGAAATTCCAAAATCTTGAAGTGAATCTTGGATCTCTTTCGAATATAATCGATATTGGCACTCAATGCAGCCGAACTATCCCTTATATGCATAACTCGTCATATTTATCCATCGAATAATATGTTCATACCAAAATAAAGTGAGTTGTCTTGGTAAATCTATCAATCATCACCCATATTGAGTCTTTCTTGCTAGGTGTCAAAGGTAGCCTTGTAATAAAGCCCATAGTGAATCGTTTTCCCCTTTCCATTCATGAATCGAGATCGATTGAAATAATCCAGAATATATTTGATGATCAGGTTTCCTCTATTGGTACGCCAGACACTTTGCCACAATTTCTGAGATGGCTCTTTTCAAACCAGATCACCAAACTGACTCTTTCAAACTTGGTACTTTTTGTTTCCACCTAAATCCATATTCAACTAACTTAATGCCCAAAAAGAATATCTTTCTTTAGATCTTCTTCGTCATAAATACAAAATCTGCTACGATAGTACAAACATCCATCGGACCTGACCTCAAAAGTCCTTAATGTCGTCATTTTCTACTTGTGCAATTATTACCAAGAAATATTCGTCATTCCTTTGCAATTCTCTTTTTCAATCTAAAAACGTCAGCTTTCTCTTTAATTCAGCCAACAATGTCATTTCTTTCAACACTATTCGTATATCCATAACTCGCAAAAGTTTTTCGACTACGTGTGTTTGTAACAACATTTTCCTTTCCTGGATGAAAAACAATGATCACGTCATAATCCTTTACCCAACTCAAGTTGTATAAGCATTGGTGTCTTTATTAAAATCCTCTTTAGCATTTCAAAACTCTCTTGACACTTCTCCATCCAAACAAAAGACACATCTTTCCTTAAAAACTTGGTTAGTAGTGAAGCTAACATCGAAAAGTTCTTCACGAACCTTCGACAATAACCAGTAATCCGCAAGACACTCCGAATTTCAAGAACATTCTTTGGGAGTTTCCAATCTACTGTAGCATGAATCTTTTTGGAGTCTACTCTTATGCCTTCTGAGGAGACTATATGGTCAAGAAAAGCAACCTTTGCTAACCAGAATTCACATTTGGATAGTTTGGCATACAACTTCTTCTCTCAAAGAGTCTGTAGAACAATACAAAGATGAGCTTCAGGTTCCTCTCTTGACTTTTAATACACCAAAATATCATCAATCCTCGGAAGAGGATACTTGATCTTTTTATTTTTACCTCCTTTGACTGTCAATAATATATGCATAACTACATATATTCATCTTTCTTTTAGCCAATAACACAAATACTTCCCAAGGTGAAACACTCGGTCTGAAGAAATCTTGAGCAATCAGCTCTTGTAATTGAGCCTCTAGTTCTCTTAACTCGATTAAAACCATTCGATACGAACACATAGAAATATGCTCAATACCCTGTTAACCATCAATCTTGAATTCCTCCTTTCGATCTGGAGGTAACCCAGGTAATTCATCTGAAAAGATATCTTTAAATTCCCGAGTTGTGGAAATATCATAAAATCCTACTTTAAATAATTAAGTATCTATCACACTAACCAAAAAACTGTACATCTTTCTGATATCATTTCTTTGCAATTTTTGTTGATGTCACATTGGGTGATGATTTTGCTTTTCTTCTAATAATTATGATTTCCAAATCCTCCGTATCTTTCTAAAGTAATATCTTCTTAAAACAACAACCCAACCATAAGGCAGAGACACCAATCCATACCTAATATGATCTCATACTTGCCAAATGATAATTCCATCAGATTCATCGGGAACATAACCTCCTTGAATCTTTATCGGATATTTACTACATGTCCAACTCACACTTGCCCCATGACCTATAGGGTTTATCGCTATCATCTCACTCGAGATCAAGTTGAATAGAATACCTTTATTTTAAAATTTCTTATTTCCTTCTGGAGGCAATCCGTGTAACTTTTCTGGATCCATTGGAAATATTCTCGAGTAGTTGAAATATTTTCCCTCTCAACTAAGAAAGTCTAAATATTCACATCATTTAATATGAATACTTGACAATTTCATAGCAATAACTTCATAGCAGTTAATGCTAAAAATTACACTAGTAAACAAATATTTTTTACGAACTATTTTTTACACTAGTAAACAAATACTTGACACTTTTCAAGTCCTCGAGAGTCAATCTAAATCTAAGCATTACTTCATTGTAGCATAGAATAGGTAACCAATCCACTTTCGCAAATTTACCTTCAAAAGGTAACTCTATCAAGTTCCTAAAACTTAACATCTATTCTCATACAAACTCATAATCATTTGATTCACTTATAACTCGGTTTTCTTTAAGCGTTTGGTGGACAACGTATTTACCGTTCACTCATTTCTCCTTACTCAACTCAATAATGCTTTAAACCGTTTAATACTTAACTTAAATATTTCTTAATTATTTAAGGTTGCCTGAAGAACACTCAGAGTCATCACTATATTCAGAAATCTCCTCTGGATCCTCATCCGATTCAACTTCTCGTATAAACCGTTCAAACTTTTTAATGGATTCCTCAAATGCAAAAATGTCATTAAACGATGGATCCTCACTTTTTATTTATGAAAAATTTAAATTATAAATAATATCAACATTAATGTGTTGATTTTTTTAAAATACAATATAAAATTTTCATGTGCTTAAGGTCCATGTTCGAGTTTGAGTTTGAGCTTCAACTGAGTTAAGTTTAAAATTTTTGTTTTATTTTGAGCTTTTTAGAGCTTCAGTTTATGACTTTAAGTTTGATTTGAGCTTAAAAATTTTAGACTCACAAGTTTTCAAATCGACTCAAAATCAATTTAAAATTTTTGAATCAAATCAAGTCGAGTAATGCTTGAGTTTAACTCGGCTCGTTTACAATTATACTGAGCGACTACAAAAACATGGGATGTTGAAACAAGATGCACGCGGATGAAACCTTCAATGACATTTGCTTTACAGTTATGTCCCCAGTTTTTCGCACGAGTTCTTGTCGTCTATATCCAAACAATTCAACCAAAACAAGAAAGATAAGGGTTTTTCACTGTAAACTCGACAACTCTTCCTGTATATTTAGATATGGTTGTCATCCTTTGTTTTACGATTGTGAAATATATCATAATTTTCGGGTTTCAGGGGCATTAGAGTCATCCACAACCCTGCAACGGCGGATACTTTAATATATTTCCATGGATATTGAAACCATCAAGGTGGTCGCCTTTTTTTCTCTTCTTTTTTCTAGTTAATTTAGCATGGACACGTCAGGGAAGAATGTTGATGACGAACCGCAACCTTCGTCGACCTTGAAGCTTTTAGGTTTTAGAGTCAGTGCCGAAGGCGAATTCCCCCCAATTGTTCGTAGAAATGTCAGCGAGTTCAGGAGAATTGAGTGCCAATTTTTTCACAGAGGATTCGCAAATTCTCAAGCTTTGGGTGGGCATCAAAATGCGCATAAAAGAGAACGACGAGCCAAACAAGGTTCATTTTTCAGTCACTATCAACGATTTGTGACTACGGGACTGGTTATCTCGCGGCATTCAGCTCGGTCGAGGCGGTTGATTTATGGCAGAGGGTCAACAAGCTTGGGTCCAAGGGGTGGCTTGTCAACAGCAGCAGCACCATCTTTTCCAATGCTAACCCTAAGGGATCCTTGTCCCTTTCATGTTGGAAGTGGGGCGCAACAAGGTCAGGGTCAGGGACCATTTCAAGTACAAATTCATGAAGTTGGCGTGGGCTCAACGTCGGATTCATCATCAGTGGCTAAGGAAGTAAACGAAGAAGATGACATTGATCTCCATCTGCGGCTAGCACCATTTACTACTACTACCACATCCAGATGATTGAGCCAATGGCGACTGAACCCTTACATGCAAGATGGACCGAGAGGGGAGGTCGAGACGGTTGTTCTTTAAAATTTTAAATTATCATATATTTTTTTTATTTTTTTATTGTTAATCTAATTTTATCTATAAAAATTTATAAATTTGTTTCCTCACAAATTTAAAAAATTCACCGTTAACACGAAATCATGTCTTTATCTATGCTTAGGCTTTGAATTTTAGTCCAATATAGGTATCGAATTTGTACAACATGGTCCAACATAAATATTCAAAAATATTTTATTTTTAGCTTAATAAAAAAATAAGTGTTTAAATTATACTTTAAACGTCTAAAGAAATTTTCGTTAAAAAATAAATATGTAACATATTTTTCTGTTATACTTATAGGTACTTACACCGTAACTGTCATTAAAAAATTGTTATTTAGCATATGACATCTTTATATTTTTTTGAAATTTTTACTTTTACAAAAATATTATTAGTTTTTTAAAAAAACTAAATTTCTTTAAAATAAAAAAAAATCTCAAAACCTTAAAATTCCTCGTTTCAATCTCTTTGTTGTTGCCAGAGGCCATATTCAGCTATCCCATTCCTCGTCGAATGACCATCCATTATCGCCCATTCACTGAACGCCCATTACTTTATTGTCTTCTTTAACCCCTAAATTCTCAAAACCATAAACTTAAATCCTTAAAATCCCAAACTAATTTATAAATTTCCTCATCGTTACTGGCACAAACAACAATTGCAGAGCAACTATGATTGGGGTGTTGGTCTGCATTCAACAATTGTTTGGTCTGCGTTATATGGCATCCACGATTATGTGCCCAAAGCATTGGTCTTCACATAATTTAAGGCATCAATTCACGACGTTTATGTGGGAGTGTATTTGTGGCTCATGGGTTTGTGGGAGTAGTTGGGGAGTGTTATAGCATCGAGAATTGGTTTAGATAGAGTGTCCAGTGACCGGTGATGGAGGCGGCGGCTGACAATGAAGGTGACAGCCGGAGATGGCAGGGAACAGTAAAGGAATTTAGGGATTATTTTTTTTTTGAAATTTTAGAAAATTTTGGGGTTATTTTGAAAAATAGTAATATTTTATTTTCTTAAAACATAAAAAATTTTCAAAAAAATATAAACGTAATACATGTCATTTAACGGTCGTTACAACATAAGTACCTAAAAGTGTAACGAAGAAAATATTAGACACCTATTTTTAACGAAAAAATTTTACGCACCTAAAGTTAACTATAATTTTGATATTTACTTTTATATTAAGCCTTTATTTTTAAAATATATTTAGATGGTCATAATCATGACGTTTTTTTCTGAAATAGCACTCTTAGACCTAATAATTATCTATCAGGTACCCTCTCCCCAAATATTATCGATATAGCACCCTTTCAGACACGATGGCAATAAAGGACGAATCGTCATCTGCGCCATCGTGGGGATCTATCCCAGCTGGCGCCACATAAGGGGAAGGTGCGGATCACCATCCGCGCCTTCGCGGGGTTTTGACACGTACTGAAGGCGCAGATCATCTGCGACTTTCCGTTAATTCCACAACTGTTCGTCTCCCCAATTGATTACAACCGGTCTCCCCCTCCCCTCTTCCTATAAAAACCACACTCAACACAACTCTTAAACCACATTCAAATATCAAATTCTCTCATTCTTTATATTATCAATCTTTATATTAAGAAGCTAAAATATATTTTATTATATTATAATTGTTTAACAATATATAATTTTATTAAATTTTATTGTACTAATTTTTTATTACTTTTTAAAGTTATAAAATGGAAGGCGGGTTGCTACGTTTAGATGAGAATAATATCTTTGAGGCATTTTACTGATACATTAACAATTTTAAATTGTGTTGTTATTTTAACTATTGTGAATGTTTTATTTATTTAATTTTTTAGTATTAGTTTATATTTTATTTTTTATACTATTTATTAAATTAGGAGAGAGACCGTATATTAGATCCATTCATTCGTAATGTTAAGTTAGAGATATATTCTTGTGTTTGTTCTTATTTAACTAAGGCTAGATTCGGTTACGTAGCGAAATATGAAGGGCACTGTAACCTTGAATCCAACCTTATTTCTGCACTGGTTGAGAAGTGGAGACTAGAGACACGCGCATTCCATCTTCCGGGTGAAGAGTTCACTATTACGCTGGAGGAAGTTTTCATACATTGCGGCTTTCGATAGATGGGGATGTGATTTATGGAGTGGCGTATGGTGAATAACATTCCTTGTGCTAGGAGTATCTTGGAGGTGTCCTGTCTAATTTCAACGGTGGTCGAATGCCGTTAAATTGGTTAGATACAACTTTTAAACATTTGAGTCACGACGCCTCTCAGGAACAAGTTAAAATGTATGCACGGGCTTGTATATCACAGCTCATAGGAGGGATCCTGACACCTTACAAATCATGCAACAAAGTTCATTGTATGTGGTTGCTTCACCTCGCATATTTTAACGTTGTCAGCGCACTCAGTTGGGGCTATGTATTTTTGGCATTTCTATATAGGAAAATGTGTCGAGCTGATTATTGAAAAAATGCTATCGGCGGATGCCTCATTCTTCTCCAGTCTTGACCGTGGTATTGCATGCACTTTTTATGTCCGGTCGTGAAAAACCCGTTAGTCTTCCCGCTATTGTTGACGTAATTTCAATACTGAATTTGTATATAAATAATTTTGTTGAGTATATAATGAATTTTTTTTCATTGAATAGGTAGTCAAGTGCAAGAAAAGAACATCGGGATTTACAGGATGAATTGGAAGAAATATGGCTACTCATTGATCAGAAGACTGGTACAGAGGTATGTATATAAATTTTATTATTTACTTTAAATTATCTTTATATAATTAGAATATTATTTTGATAAGAATTATATATATTTGTTTAGTTTCAATGGGCTCCTTATTCTACTGAAAAAATGAGGATTTGCATCCCACATCACTTGAGAGGCCCATTAGATGTCTGGATGGCGGTGGTCCATCTGATATGTTATGCTATTGTCGAGTGGCATCCTACTCATCGCGTGCTCCGCCAATTTAGTTTCGTACAATCTATTCCGTAAGCACCTAAGAATCTCGATGATATGCATATCATCGTAGATAGGGCAAAAAATAAGTTGACTAGCTCCTGAAGCACATCGAGTGGGTAATGATATGGGAGGATCGACATGGACGCATTCCTCAAACGGAACCCATTTATGTGGATCATTATTCGGTTGCGGATGATTATTATGAGTGGCTCAAAATGAACGGTAATTTGTTCCTACTTTTCGATGAAGCACAAGGCGGAGCATTCATCAGTGCCAACAAAGACATCCACCATCACAGCATCATCGTCCCCCGACTCGTGGACGCTTCCGGCTCATCATCAGCTGTAGTACCAGAACCATCACAGTAGACATCGTCTATATCGGTGTACATTCCACAACCATTTCAGATGGCACCGTAGCCATATCAAATGGCAATACAACCATTCCAGATGTTGTCACAGCTGGGTCAGATGCCACCATAACCAGGTCAGACGGCACCGCAGTCAGGTCAGATGACACCGCAGTTGGTTCAGATGCCATCGCCGCAGGGTTTTATGACCCCTCGTGGTGGATATTAAACTTTCATGCTTGTAGATCTAGCGTGGGTTCATATGATACTTATTTGGCAGGTGAAGGTGCACCACTTATACATACACCTCCAGCGTAGTTTTCACACTTATCGATGTTGGTGTTTTTAGTTTTCATAGTTTTCTATGAGAGGTGGTATAGTCAGCCATAGACCTCCAAGGTTCTTATTCTATGGAGGTGCTACATCGTCGTCTGTCCTTCATCAAAAAATGTAGTTGCTCCTGATGATGATGATAATGATAGTGAGGAGGAAGAACAAGTTATACGAAGAAATCCTCATTGACACAAACAACCACCGCCATACGGAACACATTCAAGATGAATGCATCGATAGAGTTGTTTAGTATGTAATGTTTTTATTTATGTTTACTAGCAATTGTAAAGTTATTATTTAATTATGGAATTTTTATTTACTTTGTTTGTTAATGTTTTTATTATTTAATTGTTCGAATTGTATCGTCTGCATTTAATGTTTCTATTAAATTGTTTTAATTGTTTAAATTGTATTGTTTTCTTGTATTTAGTTTGTTATGATTTTATTTAATTTTCACTTGAGTAGTCCATTACTAGGTGATGCTCAAATGAAATTAATTGAAAGTAAATTTTAATTAAATAACACAAACTTAGATTTCAAAAACAACCATTACATTATCACAACATCAACGGTTACTTGATGAAAAAAGAGATGGACATTTTTTCCTATTGTGTCCTAGGTTTCTACAATGCCCACATCTTTTGTTGTCTCTGGACTTCTCCTGAATATCCCTATTAAAATGAATTCGAGTGGAATTTGGACGACATGGCTTCCTTAATAAGGACATATATGATACAATCGGAAGCCAAGTCTGAACCTCGTCAAATTCTTTAGCATTACCTATGGGGGAACTCAAATTCATATACCTTAAATACTTATGAAAGTTGGTATATGTGATTCAAAAAACGGTTATAGTCTTGACGGGTACGAGAGCAAGCTGCTATGACATGGAAGCATAGGTACTTCAGAGCTTGAAAAAAACCACAGTCACACCACCTGTCTTGTAGATTAACTCTGAATGAGTTAGCTTGAATCCCTTGAAGAGGTCACAGTATCTCTGTGACATGAAGTAATTCATAGGTTCTAGAGAAGATTGTTACAGATATTCCATTTGATGCAAGAATTCTTTTTTGTAGACCTGCAACAAATCTTGGGTGATAGACATGATCGTTTTTTTAGCTAAGGTTGAGCTTATCCCCCGAGCTTGGCAAAAAGCGCTCCCAAACAAAAATTTATCGTTTCAACCAAAGTTGTTACTGGTAAATGGCGTGCCCCGTTTAAGGTCAAATTGATAGCCTCAACCAAGTTGGTTTTC